TCTTCTATTTTAGCAGCTCTTTCTTTTTCAATCCTTAGCTGTTCTAAAGAAATTTTATCTTCACAAAGTTTCTGCACTTCTGTTTTTCGTAATTCAGTAATATTAGCAATAGCTTTTGTCCATCTTGTTGCAGCAAATATTTCATCGAAACGTCTTTTTAAAGGAGTAGGTTCAGGTAGATTCTTCTTGGTGACAAAAAATAATATTATCCAGAACAGCGCGAAATACACCAAGAAGGATAGGAATTTCACGGTCAAGGTCAGCACAACGAGTTTAAAGACTAGCAAGTTGAACTATTTTTTTTAGGATCAATAGCTTGTAATAAAGTTTCGAGGGTTGTCGCCTTTATAGAATTAGTTGAAGTAACTTTTGCTTGCATTGATCTAGTACAAGTAATTTTCCTTCCATTAACACTATTAAATTGTAATTTTAACTTCAGTTTCGTTAACAAGCGTTGGATCATGAATAAAGGCACCACCAACTTTAGCACGTCACCTGTGGTCGCGTATTTTAAGCATTCTATTATAGTTGTTTTTTCGGATCCGTTGGGCCCAACAATAATGGTGAGAGGTGTTTGAAAAACAACGATCTGTGGTCGATTTTGGTTAAAAGAACGAATCCCATATATTTGAATCTTTTCTAATGAAGACATTATTACTGTATAATACAGTATTATGAGAGTTATTTCTTTCAATGGAAAAACTATCTACGATTGGAAATAGATATTCATTGAATATCTAACATTCGGTTACACACACAAAATTCATGGATAGTCAGTAATTGAGTTTATCATGAATATTTCTGAAATACTTTATGACATATTTCTCCGAAGGATATTTCCCGAAAGGATATTTCCCCAAACGATATCTTCTTAAAGGGACATCTTCCCAAATGAACAAATTACATAATTCCTATTTTCACATTTCCATTTAGATACCACAAGCATTATGACGTAATTTTAACTATTTTCATAAATTTTAGATAAAAGTCAATTATGTGAGATATGCTCAAGTATTATTGTTATGTAATTTTTAATAATTGTAGTGATGCTCAATTGCAACAAAAAATCAAAATAAAGATCTCAATCACTGGGTAACGAGAAACAATTTTATTTGTTTCATGGCCTAAACTACTGCATATAATTTTAAAAAAAACATCATACTCACTATACTTACTGCTTGAGAGGATTCAAAATAGCTTATCGAAGATTTTACAAAAATGTAATTTATATATTTTTTAATAACTTTAAACTAAGGATTTTATAATTTATCGCATAGCGATGTATCGCCAGTCTATTCGGAGTTTGAAATTTGATGATTTGTAAGCAAAAATTTCAAACTCCGAATAGACTGAGTTTGAAATTTTTGCTTACAAATCATCAAATTTCAAACTCCGAATAGACTGGCGATACATCGCTATGGCGATAAATTATTAAATCCTTTTTTTAATTCACTTTTTCATAATTTGCAACACTCTCTCTACCTGATGACCGAATATTAAGATTATCCATTTTTACTCCGTAATGTATTCTAAATTTACAATAATTGTCTTGTTCCGACGTACGACATACACACTGTATTGTTTAATATGCTTTGTAATTTTTTTTTTTTTTTTGAAAAGCCTTTAGGCTATTCAAAGTTGAATAATTGGCTAACTTCATCCCCATTTTGGTTAACCGTCCCCGAAATTAAACAAACAAGTCAATCACAGCACAGCAAAAACTTCTTCAATTACGTGATTAAAGTTGACTAATGAAATTTAATCAAATATCCTTGGGCATATATGTGTTTGTTTAAATTTTCCTCCATCTCTCGCTTCTGAGCCCAAAATGTTAACGTTAACCAACTGATCAACTTTCAACGGCTTTACCAAATTCACTGGTTTTATTGATTATCTCAAACATATTTTCAGTACAAATATTAGAAATAATTATGCATTTAGATGACTTTTGATTAATGTAACTAATGAATTGGCTAGTATAAATCGTACTATTTTTCACATTATTAAACCCATTATCTTCAATTTCCATTTCTTCGTCTGATTTTAAAAAATCAGCCAAAGTTTCAGCACTATTTTTCCATTTTAAAATGGTTTCATGAATCTCTATAGCTGTTGGGCGGCTATTTGGATCTTTATCCCAACACTTTCTTAAAAGGTCTGCATAACATGTTGCTGTATCTTTAAGAATATTCGGCCTTAATCCTTTAAAGCAAATTTCTATGATTAAACTCGTACAATCATTTTTATAATCCGAAAATGCAAGAGTTCCTGAAGAAATCTCCCACATAACCATTCCAAAAGAATAAATATCTGATTTTTGAGTGAATGGTTTTCCTTGTAAAATTTCAGGAGCTACATAAGGTAAAGCTCCATAAACCCCTCCTGATTCTTTGTCTAATTTTTATTAACCGATATTGCAATTCCTAAATCTCCAATATAAGCATTATGTAAATCGTTTTGAAATATATTACCACTATGTAAATCACAATGAATAATACTATTCGAATGAATTGATTGAAGATCAGATGCAATATAAGATATCAATTCTAATTTTTTCTCCCATTTCATTTGTGCAACTTCATAAAGATTCTCACGTAAAGATCCCATTTCTGCATATTGCATAATCATCTGTGCCTTCATGTTTTGATATTCCATAGCATTGTAAAAATGTAAGATTTTTAATTCCAATATTTGAATATGCAACTAACTTTAAAATTAAAAAAAAAAGACATCAATTAATAATAATAGCTAAATCTATAATACCTTAACGTATCGAATATTTACCTCTTTTACAAGTTCTTGTAACTATTTTTTGATCCATGAAATAATTTAAGTGCAACTATTTGACCTAAAGGATCTCTATTTGGACTTCTGCGATTCCAATAAGCAGCATACACAGTTGCAAACCCACCTTTTCCAATTTTTTCATTCATTAAATGGAATCCATGAAATTGTTAAATTATTGCTGGATAATAATTTTTTCAATGAATTATCAAGATTTTCAGAATTAACTGTCTTTTGAAAATTATTGCTTTTCGATTTTTGCAGCCATTCAGTAGCCTTAGGCGATGTTCCATGACCATTTCGATAACACAATCCAACTTTGTATTGTCCGATGTAATTACCATTTTCAGCTGACCTTAAATACCACTCAACCGCTTTTTTTTCATCCTTAGCTATGCTTAGGCCATACTCATAACACACCGCGAGATTATATTGACCATTCGAATTGCCACCTTCAGCAGATTTCAAATACCATTCAAATGACTTTTTTTCATCCTTGTCTGTGCCTATGCCATTTCCGTAACAGAATCCGACATTAAATTGTCCATCCGAATTACCACCTTCAGCAGATTTCAAATACCATTCAAACGCATTTTTTTCATCCTTTTCTGTGCTTATGCCATTACCGTAGCAGAATCCAACATTAAATTGTCCATTCGAATTGCCAACTTCAGCAGATTTCAAATACCATTCAAATGCCTTTTTTTCATTTTTGTTTGTGCCTATGCCATTTCTGTAGCAGAATCCAACATTAAATTGACCATTCGAGTTGCCACCTTCAGCAGATTTCAAACACCATTCAAATGCCTTTTTTTCATCCTTAACTGTGCCTATACCATTTATGTAGCAGAATCCAAGATTGTCTTGTCCATTCGAATTGCCACCTTCAGCAGATTTCAAATACCACTCAAATGCCTTTTTTTCATCCTTGTTTGTGCCTATACAATGTTCATTGCAGGATCCAACAGTAAATTGTCCCTCCAAATTGCCGCCTTCAGCAGATTTCAAATACCACTCAAATGCCTTTTTTTCATCCTTTCTGTGCCTATGCCATTTCCGTAGCAGAATCCGACATTAAATTGTCCATCCGAATCGCCACCTTCAGCAGATTT